TATCTTTAACAATGTATATTTTTGTCTTTTTGACATAGAATACTGTCTATCAGGACAGGCTGATTGCATTAATTTGGTCTAATTGACTAGCCAATGGAGTTCAATCTGGACTGATTGCTGCTAGTCAATCATGACGATTAATTATTATTGTTATTCTATCTTGTGATGAAAGTTGATGAACTGTATTGGAATGTTTTTAAAGGATCTTAATAGATTGCTATTGGAAAACGGGCCAGACAAATTCTTTATTGTTCATAGATAATGTCCTAAACTCTGTTAACTTGAATGGCTACAAATAAGTAGTGGGAGTAAAATTAATGTTGATAAGCAAGCGAAGCATGTTGTCATCAATTATTCCATTGGTGTACTAACGTATATCGCCTGGTTGAATTTTGTGCAGTAATACAGTACAACTGGAAGATTTTCATTCAACTGTAATAGAAGAAAAGAAATATCCTCCATGACTGCAATCCAAATTACAAGTAAACATTTCAAAGATTTTTAATCAAGCGTCATAGAAGGGAATGCTTTTAAAGCTACAGTACAGCAAATAGGTTAGCGAAGGATGTCATCCATGAATGCGTTGCTCATCTCAGTCTTGTAATGAATTATATAATTATTGAAGTCTGGAATGAAAGCTCAGCGATTTTGATTCTAAGGTAGTAGTACAAGGAAATGCTTTTGCAGCTACTAACTAGTACAGTAAATAGATTAGCCAGAAATTTTATCCATGACTGCATAGCTTGCCTCGGTCTTATATCATCCAGGACTATATTGCTTGCCTTGCAAATGAATTCCAGAATAAAATCTCCAAAAAATTGGATTCAAGTGAAGTGGAAGGAAACGCTTTTGCAGCTTACTAGTATAGTAAATGGATTAGCGAGGAATATCATCAATGGCTGCTCCCCTCATCCTGCAAATGAATTCTAGAATAAAAACCTTAAAAATTTGGATTGGAGTGCAGTACACGGAAATACTTTTGCAGCTACAGCAAGTAAATACTGCAGACTAGCGAGGAATGCCATCAATGATTACATTGCTGTCCTGTATCTTCTAATTGAACTGTATATTACTGTAACAATTTTTAAATTTCAGCTCAAGTGTAGTACAAGGAAATACTTTTGCAACTACAAGTACACAATAGTAAAGAACCCAGGCAGACATGTCAGGTGTAGTAGAAGGCAATACTTTTACGGTCATAAGTAGGGTCGAAAGCTTAAATAAATACTTCACAGTTTTCATCAATATTGAATGACCAGTTCTATTAATTAATAAATCAATTTATGATTACCTGATTAACTGCTCGAGAATATTCAATACCTGAGACTTGTTTCTCATCAATTTTTTATTCCTAGGAAACGATCTCAAGTTTAGTTCATTCGACGATCAAATGGAATAATCAACGCAAGTTAAAATTGCGTTAAACTGTAAATAATTTATTAATCATCGTTTATTATAACAACACTCAACAATAATAAACAAAATAGTTGAAAAGACGGCAATGTTGAACTAGTAGGAGGAATAGTAGCTGGCTTATGACGCTCATCGATTAATTCATTAAATATTATTGATAATTAACCACGTCGAGGACTTAAGTGCATAGTCATTATCGTCAAAGCAGCGATTTTTTCATTACGCAATTAGTTTCTAATTTTTTCCATTTTCCACCGATACTCAGAAAACTTGACGATTCTAACCAACTCTACACAACATGCGCGTTGTCCTTATACTCAATAGTTTAATATTAGCCATATGGAATGGGTTCGATATAAAAACATAAATAGCTAGTTTAGCAGTCATAAAGAATCCATGATCGTGGTTTATATCTTTAACTAGTGTCGCTACAAATCGCCATAGTCCCGAGCATGAATTAAAGATGGAGTAACTACCTCATCATTGCAGCTGTGGTTAGCCATCGGCACTGTTTACGATGAATTTCTTTTCCTATTATTCACTGATTAGACTTGATCAAAAGCAAGCAAAGCCAACTCGTCGAGGGATTACTTCCTCAGATGATTGAAATCGGAGTAGTTATAGTGTTTTGCATGTTGAGCAGATTAAGCTAAAGCTCCACAACTACAGTAATATGCTTACCATGCTGACTGGTCTCAATAGCAGTAACACTACTCAAACATACTATTGTGAAATAAGGTCCAGAGCAAGGAAAAGAATGAAAAAAAATGAATAGAGGAAACTCATTAAATAATGATCAACGACAGGTCTCAAAGTGTGCCTATCTGACGACTTTATCCGTACTTTGATAGCGCTATGGGGAGATGGCTACTTGTGGAAAATGGAATATCCAATGTTTCTGTATTTACAGGCAGAGAAAATGGCTTTCAATGCAGTATTAGCAATCCCTTTCATTCTCTTTTGAATACCCAGTTACTACCGCGTTTATTTAAGGATTAGGATGCTAAAGTACCGTAGGTACTAAGCTTAACATCGAGGGATTTTCAAAATTGAATATGAACAACTACTCTTGCCATTTCTGATAGTATTTCAAATCCATTCCCGCAATTTTGTAAAATGAAATATTCAATAACTCCTTGATATCAAATTGCAAGATGGTGCGGTGCGATGCACACATACACACACTGATAAAATAGAATAAGAATAGCAATAAATTATTCAAAAGTCTGCAGTGTACTGCAGTATTAGATTTATTTATCCATGCAAAAAAAAAAAAAAAATAGCCTGCATACCGAGTTCAATCCATCTCTGCAGATGAGATTAGAAAAATTCATTTTTTATAGCCTACACACGCCAATAAAATAGAATAAGAATAGTATTACTCGGTAGTCTTGCACAGCAGTAATAGATTTATCGGTGCAAAGAATCCAACTCTAATTCTCATCTAAAAGCCTTAAAAAGCCCGTCTATCAATGGCGATGCAATCTTGCTGGAGCTCGGGCAAAATGATCGATTACACACTCAATTGCTCGTCATTGCAGACAATCCTCAGTTACTTTATTAATGCAACGGTTGATAGCTGGTAACTTTTTACAGACGTTATGGATTTGAAGAGGTCAGCAGGATTTCAGTGTTATACTTGCAGATCAAACCCTGTTTGTTAGATAATCTGTTCATCAATGTAATAAAGGATTGCTAGTAATACTTCAAGGCCGATCGTAGGCTTTTAAATAGCTAGACTAGACGAATTTGCCGATCAAAGGCTATGCAAATTAAGCATTACTCTATTTGTTAGACAAACGTGATTACCTACTGTATATCAATGGAATATTGAATTGCTGGCAATTTTTCAAGGGTCGATTTAAAATTGCTATACTGTGTGAATTAATTGAGACTAATAAAGATGATTACGTATACCAGAAGATCCAAGAAAGAATAGGCTAGATAGTACATAACGTCTTCCTCCATTGATTAATAGTACCGCAACTTTGCAAGCGCCATCGTGGATTTAATAATATCTTCTGTATATCAATGCAGTAATGGAGTATTAGCCATTTTTCAAGGCCATTGTAGATTTCAATAGCTAGGCTGTACTACTACACGAATTATTAGGCACCAAAGGTTATACCTGCAAATCCAACATAATTTTGCTATTTTCATTAGTGCAATACTGAATTACTTTTCAAGGCTACAGTACTGTACATTTAATTAATTAACTAGACTACTTGAACTAGCTAAGACCAACGACTATCAAAAACGCTCATAGTATAGACAATCCTTAACACGAATCTTCTGTATATTAATTCAATAATGGATTCCTAGTAGCTTTTCAAGGCCATCGTAGGTTTCAATAACTAGGCTACGCCACCACTAGGATTATCTGACACCAAAGATTATACAAGTACCAGCAGATTTAACATAATTTATTTATCAATCCTTAATATTAATGCCATAATGAATTACTAATATCTTTGCAAGGACTGCCGTCAATATCGCTGAGCGAAATAACTAGAATGCATTTTGATCGAATAACACCATAGAGGTAGAGACAAGTTATTTGTTCTACTGCAATATTTGTAAATATAAGACCGATCTGTATAGTAGGCTAAAGGCTTTTGGCAAGTATAGAAGAGTGTATGCCTAGTCCTATCCCTTTCGAGTACTTCATTAATATTCATATATTCATATCCAGACTATATTTAGATTCTTTTAATTACTTTTAGTTAAACTATTCAACCTAGGGTAAAGTACAATAGATGGCCATACTTATAATATAAAAGTACTCAATTTTCTCATACTGCATTGGCTTCTAGTGTGCATGTTGCTTAATTACCCAGTTCATGAGTCTTCTACGTCCATATTGGAAATTCCTCTTGACTGTTTGTAATCCTTTAAATCAGCTATCTAGCGCAATTTTATTTCCTAATTGTTAAATTGGCAAAGCCCTACTTTAAAATATCAGTCTACTTTGAGAATTTGCGGTAAGTTCTAGATAAAATAGAGATCTTTTTCTGTATATATATATTCTCCTTGACCACCTAGTCAAGCCTCGTTTCTCTTACAGTAGTTGAATAATCAATTTCTTGGATAAATGAAACAATCTTTGTCGTAAAGATTATCCTATCTTATCCAAAAATTTCTTTTATTGATACACTGAATTCAATACAAGATGGTGAAAAATAGACTACATTGTGATCGCTATCTTTAATCGGGTGATCAACGCCATTAATTAGCTGTATTAATCTTGGAAAGAGATTTCGACAGCTCGATGGTTCAATAAGCTAACAATCGATATGGCAGATCGTTCAAGGCGATATTGAATTAATCCATAATACGTATAGTGTAAAAGACAATTGTAAATAGATTCACTAACCAACAGATTATTTCTATCTATACTAGAGTAGATCTAGTCCACCGATATTTTAGACATGGCTAAGCCAATGTTGATAGACTAAGCTTATAATGGGACCACCCCTTAAATTAGACTGCATACTATCTCTCTCTATACGATTATGATGTATTTATATCGGAATTTTCATGGTCTTTACTTTCCATCTCGTTTGTCTAGTAATTTATTTTAGTTAACGATGACTACGCCAAGTGGTACACCAATTCAAAGTTCGACTCAAGACGTTGTCTGGATTCAGATATATGAAAACGAGAAACCAGAAATGGAATTGATAAAGTATTTCAAGGTAAATTAATCACTCTATTTTACCTCTATTTTCTTCAATCACTCCATCGTTTGTTGCAGCCGTTTACGACAAGATGTTTCCGCTTAATCCATTTATATCCCTTCAATAAAGCACTACTTTATATCTTCCTTTATGATCTGATTCTATTTTAGCCCTTTTTCATTCCATTAATTAAACATTCCCGTCGTTTTACTACATTGTATCAGTTTCCCACCATCAATAGAAACTGGCTTTTAGTTATTTTGACCCCAACCGCAAAGTACTTCCGTGATTTATTTCCGTCACATCTTTGATCTCATTTGTCTCGTCTCCCTCTGCAGTTTTGATGTCCACTTCTATAACCTTAAGAAGTGATAAGTGAAGATTATTGTAATATGTTTGAAAATCACTCTAGGATATCACAGTTGAGAAGATAGATCATGTTTGTCTTAACCACTTCAATATTTCATACGTGCTTTACTCTATTTTTATCGTTTAAAGCGAGTGCAAGTCCTGTAGAAAGTAATCCTACAACATTTGAGAATAAATTACAGATACAGCCGTGACAAGGATGTATCCCACTCCTCTTTGCTCTTTTAATACGCTTATATATCTTGATAAGTATATGCTGATCTTAAGACTATATCAATGCATAATCACTGCAAGTGAGAAATATTCTTTAGCGTTAGAAAATTACCAAAGGTTATGCGCTAAGCAGATACGCCATCATTTTCCTCAATTACTTTTTTTTATTAGAGATCATTAGTATAACTCAGAGATTGTACTTAAAAGTAAATTAAAAATTATGTAATAATATTGAAACATCTTAGGATAAAACACTTGAGCAGCTCCATTTATCTCTACTGTTAATAAGTTTCCCAAATCTCATACACGATAAATTGAAGACTATTGTAGGAAGAACATTTGAGCAGATATATCCTATCTGTCTATACGCGTTATGTTATATTTTTAGTATTCCCGCGGTATTAAAATAAATTAAAAGTAATCTTCAATATCACTATAGGATAAGACAGTTGAACAAAATATCAAGATTTATTGTGAAAGGTAAGTCCATTAAAAACGGAAATAATTCCACTGAATCTTCATTCTACTAAAATTATCTTGAGTTTGACTGAATTAATTGTTGGCTTTTCGCTTTCCTGACAAGTTCAAATATTCTCGTATGCTGCTATGTTCATGAAAGGCAATATCATCTATGACAATGCTCTTTCCAAGAGATAGATAGTTATCTGCTATTTTATCCCACTCGATTTATCTTGAGCTTGACTAGATTAACTGTTAGTTTTACTTTTACCTGACAAGTTTAAAATATTATCGCATACTGCCATATTCATAAGCGGCAATATCATTCATGAAAATACTTTTTCTAGGGAGATAGTTTCTGCTACCATATCAGTGTTGGCCTTTAGCTAGATCAGCTGCAAATTTTCCACTTTCCTGACTAGTTCAAAATATTGTCATACAAGTATACTCCCATATTCATGAAAGGGAGCATCATTCTTGTTAATACTTTTTCAGAGAAATCGATTCCTGCTAACATATGAGTATTGGCCTTTAACTCTTACTACTATCGCTTTTACTGCTATGCTACAGGAAATTGATTTTGTATATTGCAGTATTCCAGTTTCAAAGATGATGTATGATTTTCTCATAGCATTGGCAACCATCAATTTCCGCCCTTGTAGTTCTCCAATTTATAACCCTTTCTTATACAAATTAGGTTAAACTAAATTAGCTACTTGTCTCAATATTAAGTATATAAATAAATAATTAGCATTTCTTTTACTCTGGCTTTACATAAACTTTTAAAAATCTGGACGTCACGAGATAATCGCATTACAGGTATAAAATTAGATTAAACAAAACTAGTTAACTGTTCTAAGATTGGATGAACAAATATTAACAATTTTTCTTTACTGGTATCACATACAGCTTCAAATAATCTCACCATCACGGAATAATCATATTTCACCTATAAATTAGTTTAAACGAAATGGGTTAACTAACTAAATCTTGAATGTACAAATACTGACGATTTCTTCCATACAAGTATCGTATAAAGCTTTATACTCATAATCCTTATATCTCAGGATAATTGTATTGCACGCCCAAATCAGATCAATCTAAATGGACTGGCTGTCTTAACATCGAATGTGTAAATATTTACGATCTCTTTCATACAAGTGTCAAGTAAAACTTTGCATAATCTTGCCATCGCAAAATCTTTGCATTTCATGTATAAATGACATCAATTCAAATTGGTTAACCATTTCAATATTAAATATATAAATACTTACCATTTCTTTTAGAACTAAAAATAAAAAAAATTGTCGATAAACTCTGTTTTACCTTACGACATATAAACATTCTCTTAACAAACTTCAAAAATTAAAGGTAAAATATACATCCATTCGGCATGAAAAACTAATCATGTCTCCATTTAATGATCAAGGTATAATTTAGTCGGTGAATCACGCTATGCTATCCACTATGCCAGTGATGGAAGGTTGTTAACTAATGAGGTTAGTTTGATTTCGTAACAAAACCTACTCAAACTTATATTTAAAGTAATTGCGTGATAATGAATAGCTTAGAGTCTTTTTTCAACTTATTAGAGCTCAAAAGATTTAGAACATGGTGATAAACTTCATTTACACAAATCATCGGTATGTTAATTCATCAATAGAAACTGATTACTAGTTTACTACTACAACATCAAATCCAATCAGGAATAACCCAATGTCTGATAACATCTTAAATAAACCGATTTGGATATAATCCATTATTACAGGATGTAATTGCTGAAGAGATCTTTAACGGATTAGTAGACTTGTCTGGAACTGTAGCAAATATTAATCGATTGGCAATTTACGCTGGCGTAAGTAAAATGGCATTTTTGGATACTACAGTTTATGGTGACAGTAACTTTATAAATTGAAGAAATTATCAACATAAATCTTTTCAAATCAAGTTTGACAACCTATTTAGATATTACACGTTCATTATTTGTCAAGTATAATATTAAATGATTAATAGATTATATACTCATATCATTTTAAAGCGATCTAAATTTGCTGATGAATTTACAAAACGTGGAGGTCTAACAATATTTCTGCAAAGATTGGAAGAATCAATGTAAGTTATTAATCATCTAAATATAATTGAAGTTGAAAATTGACTATGAAAGTAATTCAATAGCTTAACTATATTTTCAAGTACCATACTAAATCACTATCTACCTAGGTGAATATCATCTACGCGTATATTACAATATTAATTAATAAATGATATTTGCTGTCCTTAAACTAAGATCAAAATATGATTACCGCTGAGTCTATTAATTTCCAGTGTTAGCTACACACTTAGCCATGATAAACTTTGACCCTATAGTACAGCAATTCAACAGTAACTAAGTAAATATTTTCCTTATAATCAAGACTTAACAAAAAATTCTAATTCTTATTATTGTACAATAGTCAGCAAGATTGCTTTGCTTCTTTCCTCCAGTGTGTTCGAGGTTTATGGCAACTTGGAAAAATTAATTGGAATGATAAAGCAATCCATAAAATCATTGATAAAGTAATGATATATTTTGCTCGATAAACTCGTTTTTATGATCATGGATGATTCTGTTTTGATGTCTAGCTTAAATATAATTATATTTGTAGTGTGTAACCTATATTGAGCAAGCTGCTAAAAATTCACCAATAGCTGTAAAAAGCGTGGTGCAATCATTGGAATTTTTTCATGATGGTGTATCGAAATAGTAAGCATTAATATTATGCTTTATATACTTATCCATGTCTATGAATTGCATTAATTGCTTTTTGGAAATCGATATAGCCCTGATTTATATAAAGAAATTAGCGAAAAAGTATCATATGGGTTATTAAATCGTTGCTTAGAGTGGTAAGAATGATTGCCAATTGAAATGCTTAAAATTAATTTTATATACGTAAGAGATGGAACGGAAATTATTAATATTCATACTAAAAAGTAAAAGGTTGATATCATGGATTATTGAGATATTCTGTAGATTACTTCCCAATTACGTAAGATGAGTTTTCTTTTCGTTTTATAGGACTGATGATGATATCCAGAGTAGTTCATTGGCTCTGATTGTTGCTCTCTTAAAAGGAAAAGTTGACAGAAGTAGCTGGAAGGTTAAATCTCTCTAAGTAGTCATTAATATTCGTATGCTTTGAAATTTCCATTTAAGTTTAGTACCGGTATATGTAGATGATCTACTTTCCTAAACTTAACAGACTGACAGATTGAATTTATTAACAGCATAACTTACGTGGATATTTGAAAGCCAATTCATATTTTTTATACTATTACTTTATATTACGATTAATTATCATAATCCTCAAAAAGGAATCAATTTTAAAAAGCTTATTTCACAGTAGCAATTACATGTTTAGTACCGGTAATATTTATTTGCAAGCCTCAGAAATGTATAAGATGCATATAGAATTTTCATGCATTTATTTAATTGACTACATGTCTTAGAAGGAAGGCATTTTTAGTACCTTATAATAACACCAATATGTTATATCGCAGGCAACCAGAGAAATTATCTATAAAGAAGACATTCGGGATACAATTGTCAAGGTAGGCAAACAAAATCGTTGAGAATTTAATAGCCAATTCATTTCAGAATCCTTTTAAGTATATAATTATTAACTAAGGGTATTATTCTTTTCATTATTATTACCCTTTAAAGAATGTTATCCGTCGAAGTGGTGGTATAAGGGAATTAAGGCAAAGCGATTCCAAGAAAAGAAAGTCTCAACAGTTACTTGCTTTCCAGCATTTGATGTTGAATACTCTAATTGGACGCATGTCATTATCTTCAATAACACCTGATAAGGTCTGAGCTAATAACTAGATTGATTTTCGCGATATATCAGATGAAATTGAGTTGAAATGTGTATTAAAAAGTCAACATAACAACTATCCGTATGGATCGTATTAATAAATTTAGACCTAGTATAGTAGCTTTACTGATTATCCATGCGGAAAATATTTATATTTTGATAGGAAACATTTCATGTCCTCATTTGATGATTCTTTTACTGCTAATTTCCGTAGGTAAAGAGTAAACTGGATCAGCTACGAAAAACAGTTCGCGAAGCAGGTGTCTATGCTGTTGCTGGCGCTGATGAAGAGATTGAAATGAATAACGAAACGGATTTCAAGATCTTAGGCAGTATGGTAAGGAATCCTACTTAAGATATATTCTGTTATAGACAGAGTTAATTTATTGCCAATTATTTGCAGTATCGGTGACTGCTCCTGGACCGCATGTAAATAGAATTCATGTTAATAAGTAACTTATACCAGAATAAAGTTGTTTTTATTACTATCTGAAGACATTAATCTTTAATTATAATTCGAAATGAGTCTTTTACAAGGATATTTGATGTATATTATCCGATTAAAAAGTGAAAATATTACGCTAATGTTTCCAATGTAGACTTATTGCTATAATTATAACCATTTAATTATACCTTGTGCAGAGAATAATTTATGATATGGCTAATTTATCCGTCTTATGAGTATGTTAGAAGAAAAGGATTCTTACTTCCCCTACTCTTAATGATCATTAACAATTCCACTCACTCAACCTTTAATACTAGCGTAAACTGTGTCACATCTAAGTAAAAAATGATATTACGGTTTAGTTTTAAATTAACCTAATTGTTAATCGCTTTATCCCAGAATCCAAGAGATCCCACACTTGACTTGAACGATGAACCATCTGGTCTCTTGGCTTTAGATAATATGATTTTCTTCTCCAATAAACAAAACGACAATTTTAGGAAGGTACAAATCTATAAGCAGGCATATTTTTAAGAGAAAGTAGTACACGATTCTTCTTCTTGATGATTAATTGATGTATACCATATTACTAATTTATTATTATGAAATGATCAGATTCTAGCATTTTTAGTCTTGCATCATGTGTAACTCTTTTACTGGTTTCTTTTTGTAGTTTATTTTGGAAAATTGTGGATGTAATGATAGTCAAGCTTGTCCATTCATGAAATCAAGTATTGCACTGACAAAGTTATTATGCAATCTACTAAAAATTGGAGATGCATGTAAGATTGGCTAATACTCTAATAACCGGAACGTAATAATAGAAAGAGACTGAAAATCATAATCTTTGATAATAAAAGACTTTGTTCTACTACAGAGCTTTTTAATTAAAAATATTGTGCTAGGTACTCGGTAATATATCTTACAACAAAATTACTAAAAAATAATTGCGTAGCGTAGCCGATTTATATACGCATATTCATAAGTGCTACAGTAATTTGCCGATATTGCAATATAAGTACAATTTGAATGACTTTAAATTTATTACGCGTGCAAAAGTATATCACTCAAATGGATTTAGTCATTATTTATTCTTACTAGTTTAGTTTATAAGTACCCAGCGGCTACAGTTTTATATTATGATATCTCTACTTTAAGCCATTGGTTACTGATTGATTCTATCTTTAATGAAATCTGTTATTAATCACATAGCATTTTCCTTAAATGAGAATGATTCCTACATCGAAGTATTTTTCGATTCCGATACGGTTTTCGAGGAATTATTTTGCGTCTGTATTCAAATTTGGAGCAAGACATGGAAAGAAATGCATGCTACTTCTGAAGATTTTAACAAGGTTTTTAAAAACTTTTGAGCCTTATTTATTGAAAACATGCTTTATGATATGCTCTACCTCATTTAAATTAACCTTTGCTTGACTCTATTTCTGTTATATTCAAGTTATGAATATGTATTCCATCGCTATTTTTATACTAACCTCGGCTCAATATGACTGTGATAGGTTTTAAATATCGTTCAAGAGCAAATTACAAGAAGTTTGCGTGATAATCCAACTACAATTGATATCTTTAAGGTATTATTCTTTTAACCTGGTTTGAGCGATATCTATCATCCTGAAAATATATTCTCTGAATTGGAATTTTTAAATTGCCTTACTACAGATTACAATATCACGATTGAACTTTAACCAAATACTGAAGCTATTACACTCTGATATTCAAGATACGATAGAAAAGAACTGCAAAGAGAAAGTTATCAAGTAATTCAGAAATTACTTATCTCTGCTCTGTAGTTGTTAAGTTTAAGCGCTAAATTTCGCTTCTGTCTTTCATCACCTTTAGAGAATTAACTGGACGCTTGACACCTAAAATTAAAGCTTTAATAAAGCAGCAGGTAAATATGATCGATTCTAATCTCGTGAGAATTAGACTTGTTGTAAATATTTTCAGACCTTGAAATAAATATTTTAACTAATTAAAATGCATCTTTTTATACCAATCTGCAGCGTTTAAATCAGTTAGTCAAAGGAGAATTATTTGTTAAAGCACTTAAAAAGGGTACGTCTACTCAATCATGATTAAGCTAATACGGTCATAGCATGACGTTAGTGTCATTAATTTAAACTATAATCATCGCGCTTATTTCAAACTTCATAACCATGTTTCAGAGAGAGGATATCTTGCTATGCGTCTTTCTCCAAATTACAAAGTTCTACACTATAAAGAATTAGAAGACTCTAATATTCCGCAATTAGATGAAATGTCCAAGAAAAGTACATACTATAACTATTTTAAACTCGTTATTTAATCTTATTACTATAATCGATTCCATTATTCACTACTATTATCTTTAACCTATGATAATATTAATTAGTCCCTGTAACAGATATAACTGAAGTTAAAACTGATAATGAAGCTCAAAAAGGAAGAGGCCCAAAAGTGAGTTTTCACTTAATTGTCTTTTCGATGTTGCTTCAAAATTTACACTTTTACGAAGCCAATTTTTAAAGTTATGATCTGCTTATCGCTATTACCTCTAACATCTGTGGGAATAAAATTATCCTGATCTTTTAGTCGGCCTATCAATTGAATATTTACTATAAAGATGAAGATAATCATATTCAGGAGCTTAATTTAGCTTGTAATGGAGAAGCGACAGTAAGTTCTACAACTGTAAAGTTTAAATCGAATATAAATTAATCAATAGCCATCATACAGCATTAGGATAATCAATTTTAAGATCACGTCTTATATGTTCTTGCAGTTTCGATTTGATTATGTATGCACTATTTCAATAAATAGAGTGAAATAAGCATAGGGATATGAATATACTAGAACTAGTAACCCTTCTTATAATGGCTATTCACTTTTGCACAGATACTGCTAAAATATAGATACATGCGAGTAGTTATTAAACTGGAAGCATTTAAAGCATTAGACAGTTATTGAAAGTGCTCTCTATTTCTAATACCAAGCTTCGTTACTTTCAAATTGTAGCACTCCATATGGTGCGACGGCATTCTATGTTTGCTAGGCAAAGAAGTAAGTAAATTTGTAAAGATTACGCTAATTATTCCTTATATAGATAGATTGTAATAACTGAAAGCTACATAAAAATGCAAATTGAATATCAATTCTCATTTTAATGACTTGGACAAGAATATTATCCTTTTCGATTTTAAACAAGCTTATTTTACTTCATTGATGGCAAAAATTAGATGACGAGTGCGGAAGCTGATAATGATTTTAACACGCTGATCAAAATGGATATCAGACTTCGACTGTTAGAGATAGAAAATGTCAAATTACCAAAGCTGCCCCCACCTATTCCTCCTGAACCGGATAATTTCAACTTTGTTGACGAATATTATCATTAGTAGAGGACAAATATTATTTTTACTGACCTCTTACATCATGCTACTTTTGAATATTATATTCATTGATTAAACTATCCGCCAATAATGTTTCATAGCCTTATTGAAATTTTTGTTGTTAAAATCATATCGATATATTATTTGTTATTTAAGTGTCTTCATGCTGTAAACTGTAGAAATGTACACACTACGTAGCTATTACGTACTCGTACATACAGACACCAATGCATCCAGTATATATTATTGGTCTTGTGTAATTAAGGAATTGGAGCAAATTTTAACTAACTGATAGGTACCGTCTAAAAAATATCGATATTCCTTAATTATTTCTCAACTCCATATCAAGTTAAACGATTAATAGTTAGTTTAGTGGGAGTAAATGGAATGCCTTGTTGTAGGTAAATGGTTCCATTTTTATTTTTTATAATTCATTACAACAGGGGATATTTTATAATGTTTTCCCCTTCAATGGTGCAAAGGTGTATAATTTTTGCATACCAATCCAATTTAAATTGTTAATGGCTACTACCATCTTTTTTTTCATATCGGATAACTTCAAAAATACGCGTCTAGCTTATAAGTGCATAATCTACTTTTTTTTTTGTAATTTAATGAAATCAATCTTAATTTCTCATTTACTAATAGAGCAATGTCTGTTGGATGACAGGTTTGTGCAGTTGCCTCCAGCTGATTTTATACCTATAATTACGTCTATTTAATTCGCTGTACTACCCTAGGAGGAAATGCAGATGCAATTGTCTGTAGTATCCTAAGGGTACGATGCAATTGATCGCGATTTCTTACGTGACTAATGCTAGTCTAGTTTATGACGGATATAAGCACATCTATCTACACATATATTTTTATGCTCTTCTACGATGTCATATGAGTGTACAGTATATTGTACACTATACGGTAATATGATATTATTTTGGGAAAAACAATTTAAGGGTAATAAAGTTATTTTAAGAGTTTGTGGTCATGCCATGAGTGTTGATTTCGCGTCTTTCTATATCGGTAATTATGACGTATGATGGAGTGGATCTATTATCGATTTCGTGTTCGAGATTTAAACAGGAGTTATTAGCACAAGCCCTTCTCCTTATGATATATTTTAATGAAGAATAGATTGTATTAAGGTAGTACTTGCTGTACAGTTGTCCATCATTTTAGTTGAATAAAGTCGGGTAGAGTTATCTTGTCAAATATATTCTGTAGTATTATAGTGTCGTAGTGCAGGTTACGTAGCTGTCAAGGATTTGAACACCTTTGAAATTAAGCCAGATACTATTAAGAAATGGAAAGTTTATTATCCATTTTCCGTCACCAATGTTATTTTATAAAGGGTAGAAATATGAACGGAATAAAGTCAGGTAGACTTTCTAGGTATCGTAGTCATGAATGCCGTTGTACGAGATCAGATGGAAAGTCCAGGATTCATTTTCGGCCCCTAAATTGATTGCTATGCTGCTGCATAGGATGACTGCGTTGTCTATTACTCTATTGAATGTCAATTTATTACGTTGCAAGTTACTGTATTGCCTATTACTGTACTATTGCTAGGTTGAAGAAACAAGTTAAAATAATCATTCAATAACTTAAGTAAGACTGGTGCAGCTTTCAGCACGATGAAATTTGGAGATGCTACAAATCGAGATTAACAACGGGGAAAACTCACAGTAAAGAGACTACTGTATACACTCTCTTCTTAGTGGAAACTTTTATTCCCTACTTCTACTCTTTTTTCTATTCCTATAACCTCTAGTCTATAGCTTCTTGAAGTATATGGCATAGAACTATTTCTATCTACTGAACATGCACCATAAAGTAAAACAGATTTAGCTAGCGTTAGCCAATAAACGAACGACAACTCAGCTAAAATATCGCCAACAAGACTCTGCAATTACTCAAGTCTAAGACCATGAATAACATAAGATGTATGACAATTAGTAAGAAACATAGCTGTAAGGTTCTGCTATAAGGGGATAGAACCGATTTTGATAGAAATAGAAAGTTAAGACGATTCAATGGAGGAAAAAGATCTCAAACCAGCAGTCTAATCAAGATGACCGGACGATGCTGAGTATCGTGTGAGCGTGGTGGAAAATTGCCATACTAGACTCTATATCATTAACGACGTAATGCTACACTAGGTCAAAGTGAATCGTGCTGCTGCAGCTGCTACAACCACATACCAACTGTATGATACAGTAGACAAAATCCCATACTGCATGACTAATAGACGAGCTATACCAGACGACAGTAGACACGACTGTCCATCAGACTTCTTTCTCCCTGGCGCAACCCCCTCCTGTACAATATCCAATCGCAAGACGAAGCAAAAACACCAACTGCAGGCTTCAAAATGGCCCAAAATAAGTATTCTATCCTTTTACCTACTTACAACGAGAGGGAAAATTTACCATTAATCATTTGGTTGATTAATAAAACTTTAAGTGAAAGGTATGTCGGTGAAAAAAGTATTTCGAGATGATTTTACGATCGATAATATAGGATGTTATAGTATGAAAGTAGTCTTGGGTGGGAAGACTTCAATATAGGGAGTAATGGAGATCAACTAGTAGAGCGGAAAGATTCCACTTGCTTTCGCTGGACAGTGTTAGTTATAGTCTCGATCGAGGCTTGATTCACTTAAAGACATTTCTTAAAAGTCTACAAGTTGCAACAGAGTAACTGCCCTTGCGCTTTCGAAATGGATGATGACAGGCAAGTGAAGCAAAACGAGCTATTACTATAAGAGATGACTTGATAATTATAATGGATATCATTTCCTAATGAAGGAGTGTTAAAAGAGGTAAATAGACAGATGGAAACAAGAACATTTTCAACCCAATAAAACTGGCTAGTGTTGATAGTGTCTGGTCATAACGCTATTCTATGGCTTAAGACACTCAATTGCGTATTCAATGGCCGTTTTACGTGATTGATCGATCGCAAAACTAGCCATGACTGGGGGTGATTTCCTTCTTACTTGCTAGATCAACGTATTATAGGATATTGGAGACTTATGCAGTAGACACAATTCGTACAATTCTGTACCTTACTTTAAGACTGTCAATGACGTATTCAGTTGCTGTTTGTGTTATTGATGGATCACAAAAGTAGAATTAGAAAGATTTGATTTCCTTGGTACGCATTTTAGATTTTGTGACTATCCAGAGACTTACAGTGCTGTACACCGTATATCCAATTCTATATGCAACTAAATGGGTTAGGAGTAAATCCTCTTATGCAATTATTCCGTCAACTAATTCTTTTACGCTTTCATTAACCCAAGTACGAATTTGAACTTGGGTGTAAAATCTAAATCGGATGGTTCATTTTCTTTTAGTGGTATTGACTTTGAAGTAATCATTATTGACGATGGCAGTCCTGATGGTACATTAGACGTGGCCAAGCAGTTGCAGAAAATTTTCGGAGAGAAAAAGATTGTAAGTTATATCCTGCACTGAACTGATAGTAGAAATTATAGCCTAAAATAATATTTGCTTATGAAAATTCTATAAACTGATTGCTGTTAATGCCCTTCTGTTTTGTAACCATTAGTTAATCTTAACATAGTATATATGTATATACTGTATATAGATTACTGTCATCTTGGCATAGTAGGATAATTAGTTACGACCATTGTACAGCAATTTATTACGTTGCTAACAGTACTGTATGAATATACTTAAAAAATGACTATAATGAAGGTAAATCCAGCCATCAATGAAAGCAATTGCTGCCGTTGTGCGGCTGTAGTCATATATTAAAGAACAAACATGTTGTTTGATAATGCTCTCTTCCGTTAAAGGTAGTACAGTGTATTGAAGTACTAGCACTGATATGTCGGCTAACCTTAATACGCTTACATTTTTTCTTAGATACTTCGACCTAGAGAAAAGAAGCTTGGCTTAGGTACAACTTGTTCATACGCTTTTCAGAGCAAAATTAAATCTCTCTATGCGTTAATAAAAGCGTCTTACAAGCGAATTAGTCCAAATAAATCGATACTGCTTAGTAACTCAATTTGATGCAGTATTTATGATAATGGAATATTGCTGAAAAGTCCACCTTTCATTTCTACTAGTTCGAGTGACTCTATGCCCTATTTTTAAATTAATATTGCTTGTTACACATTGTATCTAACCGCGATATACTTTATTGACTTTTGGTTTGGTATATCCAAATTTATCAACTTTAAACTTAACTATTACAGGTACTGCATATATTCATGGTATTAAACATGCAACGGGCAACTACATTATTATCATGGATGCCGATTTATCCCATCACGTAAGAAAAAATACCTATAACTGTACTTTCAATTTAGTACGAATTATGCCAGTTAAAATTCAATTGAATCTAAAGGACATCTTTGCTAATAATTAAAGTTAACTTTTGAATATTATCTACGGGTATGATCTGCAGCCAAAATTTATTCCTCAATTTATCAAGAAGCAAAAGGAAGGAAATTACGACATCATTTCTGGCACTAGATATATAGGTGATGGCGGCGTGTATGGATGGGATCTCAGGCGGAAATTAATTAGGTTTACATTTTAAAATTTCTATTGCTAACAGTCTACATGAGTTATCAAGCAATTCCTACGTAGCCATCTAGGTTATGATCATCAATATAGTAATTTTACCATCAACCTATTTTATCCATTTTTAGTCGTGGAGCTAACTTTCTTGCTAGAGTATTGTTAAGGCCAGGAGCATCAGATTTGACTGGTAGCTTTAGGTAATACGTGATATTTGTTAATTCCATCTTTTACTTACATAATTATCTGACCTATTCTACAATTGCACCAATGAATCTTTCAGGCTTTACAAAAAAGAAATACTTGAAAAGTTAATCGCTGCTTGTGGATCCAAAGGTTACGTGTTTCAAATGGAGATGATAGTCAGAGCAAGGCAATTTGGTTATGCAGTTGGAGAGGTATAATACTTGAACAAATTAATCTTTACTGGCAAATTTAAAATCTTTTAAGCTGTAATGTAAGCGTATGATATCCTTGGATAGGTACCAATAACATTTGTCGATCGCTTTTACGGGGAATCGAAACTTGGCGGAAATGAAGTAATTCAATACGCCACAGGACTACTAAGATTATTTGCAACTACATAAGCTATGTAAATTTTTTCTCCAAATTCAACATTATAAAATATTGTTCTGAATCATGCTGTATTAAATGCATAAAAAGCATTGTATAGGTAACAACTGCTTTCAATGATGTTGTTATTGATTGTCTAAATTAATTAATGCTTTCGTACTAGTCAAAAATTACTGCACATTAGCCGCTGAAACGTATAGTAAATCGTTTTATTAGCTGTTCATAGACATCATTGCCTACGTATAAAGCCTCCAGGAACGTTTACATAGAAGATTACGTGCTGTTAACATCATTAAATCATAGTGAAACTATAATTTAAATATTATTTTGTTTACACTGTTAAATCAATAAAACTGAACTTCAACTCGTGATTGATATATTTAAAATTGTGCATTTTTCAGATAGCCCGAATCATAATGTATAATAGTCCTTAAATAATGCTACAGTAGTTCGTAACGTGTATATCTTTAAATAATAAAAACACTATCCTTTACACGGAATCATACGCGATACTAATGAATTTATAGTGATTTAAAATGGTTCTAAGACATTACATAAATCATTCTGATATAATTTGACTACATTAATTAGGTTGAATGGCCTGTTTCAACTTTGTTCAGTTTTAATCTTTTTCGCATCGCTTGAGCCATTGCTCGAGTCAGCTTCTCTCTTGGCGGTATTACTGAATGAAGTGGAATAGAGCATATCAATGTTAAATTATTTCACTTCTCTAATGTATAGTGCACCATAAAGAGAACTACAAAATGTTCAAGCACATCAGAAGGCAAAGTAGGAGCAACAGTACTGCTAACCTATCATCTTCTGACGAATCTTTTTTAACTTTAGGAGTCTTGGTGAAATAGCTAAATAAGGTGCCCTTTCTTTCCGAAGGCGGCTTACTATCAACCGTAATCAGTAGTGGTTAAAAGGGTTATCATGACGTATATACTGTATACACATAAATTAATAAGTCCATCATTATTAATGATCGCGGTAAAACTTACATTTCAATTTTCACCATACATTCCAAAGATTTATTACGCGAATTGTTAACACACGAAGAGACTGGAAAATGTTCCAGTGTATCCAGCGGTTTAATGAGATTGGCAGCCTATTAAAGCAAATAAATAAAACGTAGCTATTACACCACTATTATTCCGTGAAGCCTCTAATTAAGCTATTACATCCATACTCAAAATGAACTTTTGAATGTAGGCGTACGAGTAAAGATTAAATTAACAAAACGCACTTCTGACAGAGGGACATTTTCATAATCCAACCATTGACTAACAGCTTCATCACCGTCAAGAATCGCCTAATTTTAACATTTAACTTTTCATTTAAGACCATGTAAAGTATGATATTACGCAATTTCTGTAATAAGTTAACATTCAATGTCATTACCGGCATACGATGGTGAATACCAGAAACTGCGGGTGAGGCATCAACCGTTATAATACTATAGGCATAAATAGGATCGTTCGGACCTTCCTCAGTCTATAATTAATAGACAGGGTATTTGATTACTTGCTATTATAGAATTTTAATTCCGGTAGTAATCAAAAGTATACGGTAAGCCCAAACCTTAGGTGGATGCCATATTTCAAATACGCCGGCCATGGTCAAGACTCTCCTTCTAGGTCGAACATTAACAGCTTGGTCATCTTCATCATTTTCCTCTTCTGCATCAGATGATTCAACGTCATTTTTAAAGAAAATTAAATGTGGTATTTTCTGCTTATCTTTAGTAGTCTTCCATTCATAATAACTAAATCAAAAGTAGCATAGCACGATGAATATTGGCACGTATTTATATGCGATCATTAATGCTAAAAACAGACAGTTATTTCCAATTTACCCATCGGCTAAGACCACACATCGACGACCTCTGTTTAGAGGAGTTGAAAACATTCTTTTATCCAACATTCCGTCACTGCGACAATTATTGGTGGATAGGTTAAAAGATTTTAAATCCTTCTTATACCAAGCAGGAACTAAGCCCCAACGCATCACTTGCAGCATACGATCGCTACTATCTAATTTTTCCCCTTCGACATCGGGATCATTTTGTGCATGTTTAGCTGACAATAATACAGGGCTGTATGGAATAGAAATAGTTTATCGTTACATAGAGATATTGGCTAATCCGTTAATCGTACAATAAATATTTGATGTATCCAAATGGTTAGACTGGCAATATACTGACATATTCACTACAAAATACGGCATGTAGAAACTGGTTATATGAAAAGCTAACAACGATCTTACTGGTAGTACGCTAGTTTATTTTGTCATACAACAATTTATCGTACTATTCATGTAGCAAGATAAGTAAGGAGGTTAAGACTCTATTACGTTTTATCACTGTAGTAGGTCTTGGCCAATATAGTAGTTTGTAAAAGTATACTAGCAATTACAGTCTCCGCAACGACATACTAAAAATTTTTCAGTTTGCAAACATTACTTCAGACCATATGCTATTGATTTGAAGATCAAATATTAAAAGTAATTGTCAGGCATATCGGTCATCAGTTATAGCGAAAATATCTTTAAAAACTTTAAAAATAATGTCAGAAGTAACTTAAGTTTTAATATAGTTTGGTCTTAATGAAAACCAAATATAAAAGGTGCAAATGCTAATATACGATAATAATATATATATATAACATACGATGCAATCGAAATATACAATACAACATAGTTAGGTCATAAATCATTATATTCAAGCTTTCCTATGCATATATGACACTTACGTCCAAGACATGGGAGCAACATTTGGTGAGGTGTAGTATCTTCCAACCTTTCCACCTTTCCATCTCGGTTCAGTAACTTTGTTGTCTTTACTTTTATATCGGCAAGCACGTCGTAGTTTTGAAGGAGGCAGTGTACTTAAATATGTAGACAGGTGAAAGATAGTTTCGTTAATACCTTAATAATAAAAACGTTACACTGTTGATAGTAGTACAGTCATTGAGCATTCAAAATGCTATATTATATTTGGATGTAATGAATTGCCACACATACTTCACTACTTGACTGCCTACAGTGAAAAGCTTTCAGGACAATTTAGAGATCCCCCAAAATAATTAATTATCATATTCTATATAATAATTATATAGAATGGGAGTATTATCATGTCAGTTACTCTAGATGGCAACGAGCCAAGATAAAGTAATAGGATTAGGTCTAATAAATAAATAAAATAAACGGCATCCTTCGTAAGGGTTGTTGGAATATGCTTAAAGTAATCAATCACATCTTGTATTGACCAGGCTATAGCTCTAAATTTGATCATGCAAAAACAAGCGTAGGAGTCGTATATCCATGTTGATCTCAGGTGTAAAATATGAGCGACCAGGTTATCTCGCTGGTCATTTCGTCAGGCCAGATGTGGAATTGTAGTCATGATTTGTATCCTGTATCAGTTCGTTGACATCTCGTGTCAACAAGGTGGAATACAAGTACAGTACAGTACGTATGTTGTTGGTGCAACAAATTGAGCAATTTATTCTTAAAAAAGTAAACGTATACTGTATATATACCGGTTATAACAGTGTAAAAATAAAAAACGGTGTATGCCAATAGGTCTAAAACTGCAAAGGATGCGGTCATTCATAGCTAAGCCAGGGTAGTATGCTTGATCAAGGCGATGATAATACGTTGGCATCAACCTTGGATATTTCCACTGCTACCATTGGAACATACCTATCCATCCAATGTTGATATAATATCACTAAGATATGCTAAGATCGATAGAAAGGAATGGTATAGAAACGATGCAACAGAATTGGGTAATACCCGTAAGAATAAAATAACAAACGATGCAAAACAATGTTGCATCATCTAGCTGAGGTCGCTATTTCCTACATCATTGTCAACAAACTATTGCAACGATCGCCATCATCCCATTACTCTACTCTTTCGGTATTTGCACAACAATGACAAAACACTGTTGTGCATCTCCTATCAATGCATTCAATTCAGATTTTCCACTATAAAAAGAGAGAAGATACTTAGACATAAAATTGCAATCCATTTCTCTCCACTTACCATGCTGTCCGACCGCACATGTTTACTAAAAAGGAGCCGCTTGAAGTACGATCACGTTTGAAGTCACCTCAGCTTTATACATATCATTGTTTGAAGTGTCCAGGACTGTAGAACGGACTGTACTGTACACTGTACACTGTAGAGTACAGTACAGTAGTAGCGATGTAGTACAGTACAGTACATATTATGACGTAATTGCACTTCCAGGTAATTACCAACAAGACGTCAAAAAAGAATAAAGTTTGTATTGGATGAGAAGTGTATTTAGCGCTGCAGTACTGTCCATAGAATAATAGTCGGCAGTATGTGTCCCAACACGTTTCCTGATCGCTCTCTTGGCGATCTGGCCAAGGCCAAAGCAGGGGGGATTCTTGCAGGATAGTTCAGGCTGATATCATACTGTAGGATAAACTTGTTCTAGCGCTTAGCTACGGACTTTTAGATATCTTGAGGTATCTAGAAATCCATGGCTTACCACACTGACTTTACTAATAACATCATATATAAGTCACAATACCACAGGAAATGCAGTAGGTCGCTCTCTTGGCGGGCGACAAGACTTGGCGATCTGTCCGAGCCCCAAGGCCAAAGCAGGGGGCTTCTTGCAGGATAGTACAGGCTGATATCATACTGTAAGATAAACTTGTTCTAGCGCTTAGCTACGGACTTTTAGATACCTTGTGGTATCTAGAAATCCATGGCTTACCACACTGACTTTACTAATAACATCATCCATCAGCTACAATACCACAGGAAATAGGATTCGAACTTGGAGGGCGACAAGACTTGGCGATCTGGCCAAGCCCCAATGCCAAAGCAGGGGGCTTCTTGCAGGATAGTACAGGCCGATAGAATACTGTAGTGTAAACTTGTTCTAGCGCTTAGCTACGGACTTTTAGATACCTTGAGGTATCTAGAAATCCATGGCTTACCACACTGACTTTACTAATAACATCATCCATAAGCTACAATACCACAGGAAATAGGATTCGAAAAGTCTGCGGCTTTCGATTCGGAGAGCTCATAAACTTGGCTTAGTATTAAGCTAACTTTTAAAACTTCCAAGTTAAATCGTCATGCATACAGTACAGTACACTACTAAAGTACTTGCTGTACTGTACTGTACACACTGTACAGTATGTCTACAATCTCCACAAGATGGAATCTGAGCTAGCGCTTTTAAAATGACTACGCAAAAATTGCAATTACTAGCAATGACCAGTAGCTTCATGTTAACGGTACTATGCAGAAGTCTCCAGTCTGCACAAAATGCCCTATAGAGGTAAGAAAACCTCTACATATAGACGGGCAAATACAGTATTGGCGATGCCTTTATACCTAACTGGCTTGCTCATATAATAGACTGTACTGTATATTATTTTTATTATTATTATTATTTTTTGTCGCCTTCCATCTGCATTTCTGCAGCACACCACCGTACTCGATTGTCCTTTCACTCGACAGACAGCACGGATGTATGGACGATACATGCTGCTTGCATTCCAGCTTACAGACTGAAGAAGGGAACGACATTGCCCATACTGTAAGCTTGATGATTTAACAGTGTATCATACGGTATACTGCTTATTTAAGCGGTTAACATTGGCTTGCAGCCAGTTGGGTTTCCACAGCTGCAGCAGCTAATCGCACTGCTGAATATTATGAATATATCGATAGAGTTATTCTAAAAAAGGCAAGACGTACAAATTCAGGGGAATTTATGCTTACCGTAGTAGCTTATTTCAAATAGTTAGCTACTCTAATTTTATTCGACGCTTTCATTTCAATTCTACTCGTCTAACGGGAAGGATGGATACGGATAGCCGAGGACAAGGTGACGAAGATCATGAAGCAACATTAATGCCTCCGGTAGCTAAGCGTGCTAAGATTGCCGAGGCAGAAGAGGCCCAACACCTAGCGGATAATGAACCATCCCTTATAAGTGAAGATGTCGACTTTAATGATGATAATATTAATGCCGATGAAAATGACGATAACATCGATTTCTACCAAGCAGATTTATCTCCATTAGAAAATGATGTTGGTATAACTGAATATATCAGTCAACTTGATCCCATTCAAGGCTCGATCAAGCAAAGGTACTTGATGCTTGATTAATGTTATGAAAAAAAAAATATCAGCAATTACTATCTAATGCCATTATGCATTCGTTCCTGGTTTATCGTCATCTATTCCAATGTATATCAGAGCTCTTGCAGTCATAATAAGGGATATTGATGAAGCTATCAATTTACCCCTTCAAATGACATCGAATACTTCCCGTGCTACATCATACCGTAGGAGTAAAAGAGTGAATGCAGAATAGCGGATTGATCTGCATCACGTAAAGTATTCTGGTTGTTAGTATACTAGATGATAGATGTACGTACATACATAGCCGCGTAATTGATTGGAATAGATAATATCCAGCAAAATATTGCATGCTAATAAATAGCAAACATACCCTAACCATTGCTTAGCATTGCTTAGCACCTTGCAACATCCAACTCTAGCATCAAATACAGTAGGCATCTTAACATTCAATCGTACGAAGGTGCAAATGAAATGGATGATAACTTCACAGCTTATTAATTACCCAGGTTCAGATATACAAACAGAAACATAGCCGTATTAATGAATTATTATCTACATCGATATTGACAGATTTGCCGATTTCATTGTGCATGAGATTAACTTGGATGGACAGATTGTTAAACTGGAAAACTTGGATTTACCTACAAGTACTGAAGAGGTATTAGTTGATACAAGAATCAATATATTCCAGTGGAAATATACATGTAGTTCAGTTCATAAGTCTTTCGCGACATTGAAAATAGAATATAGTAAGACTCTTGTTGCTTATGCTACCATGGTCACGAATCAGTAAACGAGATCTCTAGGTGTATCTATTTTACTGCATTACATTGTTAATTAATTTATTTTTCCACCGTAAAGATCATCGAAGACACGGATAATATGATATCAACGGATTTAGAAAATCGATTACAAGAATTATCATCAAGTCACAGCAGCAAGAAGTCTGTTATAATAGACCTAAAAGTAGGTTTTGATATGACTATAGTTAATTTAATCTCATAGATGTAACCACAGTATTTGAGAAGTACATACATGCTGTAGACAATTGAAATTGTAGATTAATAGCTCTTTTTCGTATTTTAAACGACGCGTGTGCAATTCTGATGACAGGAAAATGAAAGCAATAAAGAATGGAGAACAAAGATGCATAACTTAATTCGACAACGTCATCCCGATTTAGAGAGTACTACAATGATGGAAGATGATAATAAGAAATATATTAAAGTCACAAAAAATCAAAAAGGTCTCAAGAAATCAGTTTTTGCTGTATTTCTTCATTTAGAAACGGGAATTGATATTTGCAAAGTAAATCTACTAAATACGTTAACCTATATATAGGAAATCGTAATAAGCGTATTCGCTGGCCAAATGAACATGATAAATATTGCAAATTTCGCTTATATAAAGAAAATATTGATACCATGAACGCTATCAATCTTATTTGCAAATTTACCGGGTAATCTTGAAAAATTCTCCTTTGAGATGCTCTTGCATTCTTCGTACTAATTTTTATAACCCTAAGACAATTTTTAATTATAATGTTCATGTATAGCCTTAAACCCAGTATTTTTGGATATGCTGGTACAAAAGACCGTCGAGCGATTACTACACAAGAGATAACTGCTTTCAAGTAAACTAAAATACAACCGAATATCTACTGAATCGATACTAACTACGCCATTGTATATGCAATTTTAGAGTGCTTCCGAGCAAACTTCATCATGTCAATAGCGTAACACATAAAGTACGATTAGGGAATTTCACGTAAGTGATAGACTCGTAAATACAAGATAAAAATTAATGAAATAGCTACAAGTTAATAGGTGAATTGTAACCAAAATTATAGCAACTTTTTTGCTATAAAAATCTTTAAATCCATTATTATTTCTACCATCGTAGATATAGCAAAGATCGTTTAACTCTAGGAGATTTAGCTGGAAATCACTTTACTCTCACGTTAAGGTGAATATATTTTCTTAAATAATTATTGGCAACACCTAACTAACTAAAAGTCTCGAATCTTAAATCAAGAAATGTCAAGGGTTCAGAAGAACAGATTGAAAAATCAATGGCATCACTTAAAGAAACGGGATTTATTAATTATTATGGATTACAACGATTTGGAACATCACATATCCCTACCTATCAGATTGGAAAGTTCGTACATGATTTCAAAGATGTAGAAAATATTCCATAAAAATAAATGTTTATTATAGTGGTATGCTTGGGTAATTAAATAAATCGTACCTCTATATTTTATCTAGGGCACTATTACTTGGTAACTGGCGTAAATCGATTGAGCTCATTCTAAAACCAACAAGAACCGATTCGTTTAGGACGATGGAAGCTCGAGAACACTGGTGGCAGCATCGTGATCCATCCGCAGCTTTAAGACTTTTACGTAGCAGGCGTGGTATCGAGTATTACCTTCTCAAAGGATTAGTAGAACATGGTTCAACTAGCCCCGTTACTGCTATAATGAAGGTATATGAGTATTGATACTAAATAATTGAAGAAACAAGCTATAAAAAAACTCATAACAACAACAATAATCGAAGTTTTTCTTAGAGGTTTCTTTACAATTTTATTTCAAATAGATTCCTCGAAATGCAAGATTACTTTATGTCTATTCATATCAGAGTTTAATATGGAATCTTGTTGCATCTAGAAGAATTAAAGAATTTGGCCTAAAGCCCGTTGTTGGCGATCTTGTTATTAGCAATAGTGCACGCCAGCAAGGTATATTATATCATATATCAATAGAAACGCAAGTAGAGTGAGGTTAGATTTTTCTTCGTAAAAGGTGAAATATATAACTATCATATATGAAATTAGTTTCAGGCCATGATATTGCCGTCTTTAGCACCAATGTAAGTAATTTATGTCTGTCTATATGGCAAGATTTCTAACTACTAGTTGGCTAACCTTGAGATGGTCGCTTAAGCTATATTTATTATTACTTACTGCTAGTAATTCCTTGTACTCCTCTATTAGACTGAATTACATGTGTTGAAAAATGAAGATTTACCGCATTATAGTATCCATGATATTGTATTACCACTTCCTGGATATAACGTAATGTACCCGCAGCACGAAGGTAAATGCTAAAATGAAACAATTATTTATTGCATGAATTTTAAAATGTTTTTTACCTCTTTCTTTAAGCTAATGATTGGTATCATCAACAAATGAAAGCAGATGGGATTAGCATAAAAAACTTGGAAAATCGACACAAGTAGGATTTTAAATCAGTAGACTGTAATATCAATACGGATTTTGAATAAGTGTATATTTGTGGTAAATGAACAACAGGTAGATAGACAAAAAATCAGTTATAACATGCTTATAAATATTGCTCCAATAGAGAATTTTCCCTTTGTGGCATGTATCGGAAACTAGTTGTTAGGCCAAAAAATTTGTCTTGGTTAGTTTATCATGCATTTTTATTAAGTAATACACGATTTACTATCAATTATGATTCCATTGTTGCTAAGTAATCTTTACCGGGTGCTGGGTATACCCAACAGGTCTACAGCAAGATACGACGACTTTACCATACCCCTATATTCAACTGATTTAGACCAAATCCGACAGAATAAAATTATCAATAATTCCGTTGCAGGTATATCGCGTGTAGATAATTAATTACCAATATTTTTAAACATATTTAATTAATAAATTAATTAATGTAGCAATAGCAGTTAATATTACGCTGATTTCAGTCCTTGTCGCTAACACCCTACATTAACGTATTTACATCCAGATGGTAAGAATTTGGCTTTACTATTAAGTTTTTCCTTACCACCATCGTCATACGCTACAATGGCTTTACGAGAAGTTATGAGGTACGATACATCTTGGTATCAGCAGAAAAAATTGGCGTCTGAATTTACGAAATCCCAAGAAGAAGCAACTAAAGTGAACTAATGAAATATTGATCACTAATCTAAATATCTAAAGTTGATCTAGTTGCTCTTGATATCAAGGAGTCTGTTATTCGAATGACTAACTCCTTTTCTATCAAATGAATAAAGCTTGGTTCGAAATTACCGCATTATCTAAACCTGTTCAAACATCAAACTGATGTGAAGGAATTCAATAAAAATTTTCTACAAATTTATAATTGCCAAGCGTCGTGTTGTTTACCCGTACAGTGCCTGACTTAACCTAAGAAAACAAAAGATGGCATTTCCATCGCTATTTGGAAGCCCCCCGTTAATGAAACTGAAAGTATTGTTGGCTCAGTAATTTTCTAAATAATTAATGTATCTATAGTTTACGAGCTATTACTAATGCGGTTTTGCACCGTCAGTTACACAGAAAATGTATATAATAAACATTTTTAACTCGGTACCATTATAATTATTTAATCTAGCATTCAAAAGTAAAATTCAGTTATTGTGTAGTATACTGTAGATTTATTTTGATATCAATAGAAAATCCTTCCTTTATAACTTTATTTTACCCATTGAATGAATATTTTAAATATTTGTAACTATAAACAATGTTACTATTACCTTTGTTTTGAAAAATTTAATGTAAAAGATAAATGTGGATAACAGATGTTAGAAATACACATAGAATTAACGTAAAATGAAAGTCTACCATATTATAAACCAAAGATTTCTATTGAAAGCTCAACAGATGCTTACTTACTATCGAAATGGAACATAGACTTGTTTATTTTTCTTATTTCAATTTCAAAAGATAAGTGAATGTCAGGTTGCTTAACCAAAGGAAAGGTTTATTTCAGCTCTTTATCGCAAATTATATTTACAGTATACATTAAGCTGATTTTCTTTAACGATGCGATTGCAATTGTTTTCACTTTCGAACCTATAAAGTTATGCGCCGGTAATTTTATGCAATATACCAGACCAATAATTTGTATCAAAAATCAAACTTATTTATTTCTATCAATCAAAACAAAACTAAAACGTTTATAACTATAATTAGTTTTACTTTCAAAGTCAAGATCAATAGTTGTCATTTCAAATCAAAGCGGGGTCTTCCTTCAGACTGCCTCAAAACTAGAATTATTTAGTTTTTTCTACTATTCAGCTCTATTGCCAAGTTTGAAACTAATAATTTTCCATTCATATAAAGCCTTAACTGAGCCTATAAAATCATTATAAATCATCGACTTGATGTTCGATTAGCTGCAACAATACTAAAATCCCTTCTCATGTACCAGCTGAAAATTTTAGCTGGTAGCACCGAAGAAATGACTATGTCTTTAATTTAATCTATAGTCAAAAGTGGAATGATTTCAACTTCTTTCCCCTTTCATTATGCAATCAGCGAGAAATGGTAACTATTTGCTACCAAGGATCAGTAGCTCAGCCAGTCAACTACAATTCAGCAGTGTCCACGAAGTTAGCTATAATATATCTTTAATTTGAACACTGTAAAATATCTCAGTAGCTATGGTGTACCATTTCCCAGAAGCATCTGCTATGTTAACATGACATTGTATAAAGCTGCTAATAGGACTACTATCTTCCCTAATTCTTTTATTGAGGCGGTTAGATGTGTAGCTTTTCGATAATAAAAATAGATTGATAATTATTTAATCGAACAGCGAACTTAAGTTGCATTACTTCCAACAAGCTCGTTTAGGTAATATATGTCATAACTCATCCATTTTAATTCAATTTAGTTACCGGATTCCGACCCGATCACTTAATTTTATATGCAAGCAACAGCTGTACCACAAATTTTAATAACTATCGAAATGCCTCTTGATCAAGTAGCATGGCTCTCATAAAATGCTAATCTCCAACCTTCAGTTGATACGCAAATTCTTGCAAGCAAATAAATATTGCTAGAATCGGTAGACTGCCATGTATACTTACCGAAATAAGAATTGAATGGAATACGTTAAACAGTATAAATGTCTGCAGAAAAAGCTTCCTTAATAAACAATTGCAATTGCCTATATTATATGATGTTAAGTAGTTATAATTATGTGGTAAAATAAGAATTGAATACTGTACTAAAATATCAATACTTAAAGCAATTCTTATCGATAGCTATGCAAAATTTTAATGGAATCTTACTATCGCTAGTAAGATTACGGAATACTATAACAGCAAACACATTATCATGAGCTGCAAAATATAAGTCAGCATTAGATATTTAATAAATAGTACATGTATGTTGTTTATTTACAGCAGTTTAATCAAATGAAAGTAAACACTCTGGTAGCTAAAAGGTAATAAAAAGAAAAATATTACTATCATCATTGGAGGGAAATTTTATTTAGAATCAAATCGAATAGTCCTCAAAATAACGTCTCATACCTAAACGGAACTCTAATAGGATCGTACTAGATTTTTATGCAGTAACTAAGGGAGAGACGTACTTGTAATTATATCAACGTTTTCAAATCTAGAAAATTTACATACTGTGGCAATCAATCTAGTTTGAGCTTGAAGGTTCATTAATTCTCAAATGAGGATCATAATGATTTCGTAGACTTTGCTCCTAAAATCATAATCTGTCGATCAAAACTTGAGTTCATTATGCCAAGATTGGCAATCTGATGAAAGAAGAAATGCCGTCAATCTATAAATATCATGTTAGAAACAGGTCAGAGAGTAATTTAAATCTTCTTTATTTCCAGTTAATTTTACCCTTTGAATATTAATGGCTTCGCAACTATAAATAAGCAATCATATCTGTACATCTTCCGTAGAGAGGATTAGAGTATAATTCTCTGATAGACAAGTTGCACTTGTTTATGTTAAATTATACCTTTCCTGACTCTTAAATCAAAATTATTTTACAGGCTTTCAATAACGTACTACTCGCATAAAAGATTTTGACGGACTAGGAAATTGATGATCATTATTACTCTGAGCGTACAAGCGACTAAAAAACGACTACTTTCACCTATAGATTCGATAATGTCCCATTAGTTTAGGATTAAATTTACAATGGATCACAAATAGATTATATTAGAATTTAGTCTTAATTAAATTAATTTATAACGACTGCAATTAATGTAATGCAGCAGCACTCCATGAGCATTGCTTTAAAATTTTAATAATTATTAAACATGCAATTATTCAAAGCAATATTTGTATTAATTTTATAATCAACGAATTTGCAAAGACTGGCTACTATATAAATGTAATAGCCTTCTATAAGCAAACTATTACTATTTTAATGCCGGACTATTAGATTAAATGAGGCCACATCTGTCCTATTGACGCAAATTCTTTCGTAAGAACTGCCCTATTGCTATAAAGGTAGTCTCTATTGGCGTAGTTACCAAGCCTAATTTACCATGGATAGATTAAACTACGGCAAGGCACCATCTGCACTAAGTAAGAATCAAAGCTACATAGGATGACTATTACTATCGCAAATAATATAATAAGAGCCCATTATTACTGTAGTAGAAGTTTAGCTTGCTTTCATGAAATGTGATGGGATTAAGCACCTTTCGCAATAATCAAATTATTTGTGTCTGTTTGGACTGCTGTTTTAAACCGTAAAAGTATCCAGAGAGTCTGATATTAGAACTAGCTTTACTTCTCAATGAGTTTTCCATTAAATAGAGTATAGCCTGCATATAAACAGTTATTCTCGATTATACAAGTACTAGTAGAGACTATTACAGAAAAAATTGAACGTAACCTCCCCGCCCAATAGAAAAGAACAGTCATTTTACCAGGTAAAGTGGGGTAAATTTTTTCTGTAGAAGTCTCTGAAATTAATTTAGGCTTCTTTAAATTGATAAGCCATAAATATATAGTCTAGTTTGCTTCTAATTTCCCATTACTTCTCGTCTAAATCAACTATTGATATTTTTGCTATCAAATATGGGGTTACTTTTATCATCACAAAACAACTAATGATGGTTCATACTAAATTTAATGTCTTTAATCAAACAGCATTAGTTATATATATATTAACATATATATATGTATGCATACCTTTTCTAAACACATACATGTCTAATCAGCGTATAGTAATCAAGGGAGATACTATTTACTATAAGTAATCTGGCGATGTATGACATAGAATCAATTAAATACGTCCAACGCTTAATAGATAATCAAATTCATTATTAAGAACTTAATATCATCTAATCGGAATAATTGTTCATTAGTATAGTCATGAAATCTTAATTTACTACCGATATTTCTCAATAGAATAAAGTAGCTAATGTACTTATTTGAATTAATTTGTAATTTGTATTACGATTTGTATAATAAATGGAATAGCACCGTAATGAATCATATTAGTATCCTAATTTATAATGAAGATGAGGTAATATAACCAGTAGATCTTGCGTAGATATCCACAGCTAGATTATGCTACCTAATTTGTGACACAATTTTCTTTTAATTTAAGTCATACTTGAATCAATGCCGAACACAACGACTTGAAATTCAGCACTAGCTATTCGATACTTTATCAAAAAATGAGTAAAAGTAATAACTAAAACAAAAATTCGTTAACGAGCATTTTACTCAAAGGGAAAGTAGAAATGCGGATATTCATCATACTTCAGGATATACTTCGAGACTGTTTTGCAGTAGCATTTACTAAGTAACTTCGATATCGATTAGATTGAACTGAAAGGCCCTAAAGCTATTTTGCCTCTTTCTTTCCATTCTTTAACAATTTTTGGCTGATCAATTTATAAACTTACAAACTATTCTATCATGAATGAGTGATTAAGTGACAACATGAATTGGGTTACGCTTTATTAATTTTTGATCAATTCATAAATTACAAGCAATAAATAATGTAGCATTAATTGGCTCCTTGAACATAAATCAATCAATTTATTATAGTTACAGTTAGCATTTCAAGGAAAGAAGTTGTAGGTAATTTATTTTTAGTCTTTGCCATTCCTAGATTATTTTGGGTATATCCACAGCCATAAATCAAATATATACTGTATGTAAGGCAGGGTGCAGAGGCTTATCCTATATTTATGTTAAATTGTTTGTTTCTTCATACGTGAATATCCTAGAAGCATATTCAAAATTATGATCAAGTAAATTATTAAAAGCACGCAATGCCAAATTGAATAGTGATACATTTTTACAATATAAGTCTATTCTACCGGAAATAATAATGTTAATAATAGAAGTTAGACAACTACGCAATCATAATCGTAAATAATAAATAATTGTAGCAAAAAGGTTCAATTCCCCAATACTTATAAGTTGTCAATAATCTAGACAAAAATGGATTGGTAATAACTGAGTCTAATCTAAATTAAGAATGGATAAGACGTGGCCAGTTCAAATATGTTAAAGCTTTGTCCGATAATTATTTAATAACAGAGAATGATTCATTAACTCCCAAGCTTATTTAAATGTTTAACAGAGTAAAATTACAATTAGTAGAGAAATGGCTCATCCAATTCTCTTAGCATTACCGAAAACAATTTTATTCTGACATAGAGATTAGAATATAAAGAGTAAATGATTGAAGATAACAATAATATAGTGCGACAATAATATTAAAGAAAGTATATAGTTGTATCTAAATAGTAACCAAATAAGATTGTCTTTCTTGTCTCACAAGGATACAATAGGCTTGAAATGTATTTCATTTCTTTAACCTTTTTATAGTAATAAGGATATGAGATAGTTGAAAGAAATTACCCATAATTATTGCTTTTAACCATTTATAAGACGCGGAATCATTCTGGCTACTTACATCAATTTCATTTTCGGTAAGGGTAGTCCTTTCTAATTTAGTAAGCGATAAAATCAAATAGATTTTACAGGCAGCTTCAAGCTTGAACTAGTAGACAATTCAAATATTTTACTGTTTTTTCACCGACCCAACTTGCTGATTATAGCAATATCCTAAAAGATTATTTATGTAGTATTATTTCAGTAAATTAACACGAAGTTTACTTTTTAACCAATTTCTTCATGCTTTATATATATAGCATTTCATTTTATTAGAGAAGATATCCTTTTAATCGATCTCACACAACTAGTGCCCTTGGAAAAATTAATTTTAAAGCTATACGTACTATCGAGGTGTTTATTTTAGTGTGGTATGCTAACGTGTTGTCTTTGATGCATAGTATACGTAGTAATTAATTGCGCGAGAAAATTAGCTCTTATTCCTATATTCTTTGCGGTAGCAGGCATATATGTATACAGATATTTCGAGACTAAGACTATTAATTATCAATTATATGCGCTAATAAAGCTTTATGTAAGAGATTCCTGAAAGAATCACAATAAGAAGCCATTATCTAAGACTGCCACACTTCATTGGCATTACGATGAATTCCTATTAAGATTAAAGACTAATTTTGAACTTATCAGCTAGCGTTGCCAAGTGTTTATAAAGTTGTTTATTCTATTTTCAAGACAATACCATCTATCTTTTCTATCATCAATGTATCGTAATAAATCATAGCATTATTTATTACCAATGGAGACGGTTTGTTCCTAATAAACAACTTAACAGACAATTATAATTAACGTCAGTATTTTCTCGTATAGATTTTAAATATTATCGATTTTAAAGTTTAAAAGGTTAATCTTGAACGATAGTACAGAATATTAGCTAACATCGTTTATATAAGTATTTTGACCATATATGAAGAGACTGGCCTGTGATTCCATTAATTTTTTACTCTCTTGTATTTTAATACAATACTATTTGTCTTCTCTTTCATCAATATAAATTATCGTGGTAAACTATAACTTTATTTATTACCGATGTATGGTGCCCATAAAAATTCTCAATTAGTAAATTAATAGACAAAGATGATAAATGTCAGTGTTCAATACTTGCATGATTTAAAGACTAATTTTGAACTGCTGTGGTGTCGCTAGCATCACTTAACGTATATGCGTGTAAAGTAGTTTATCGTACAACATATCCGTATAAAGAGACTTTTGAATTATCATTTAATCAATCCTACTCTATCTTCAAGACAACACTACGTATCCTATCCTAATGATATCGTAATAATAACCCAATTTACAATGATGCAGATATAGAAAGTAATTTATCGTATACAGAGAAAGATTAACTATCATTTAGTCATTCCTACTCTATCTTCAAGGCAATACTATGCATTCTATCTTAAAGATATCCTAATAAATTATAAAACCCATTTACTATTTATGCAGATATATGAAGTAACTTATCGTATATAAACAGATTGTACTATCATTTAATCAATACTACTCTATCTTCAAGACAATACTACCTATTCTTTCATAAAGATATCGTAGTAAATTGCAGCCTTATTTACTACTGATGCAAAGTATCTATTTTAATAAACTAATTAATAAATGATCATAAAGAGTATCAGCATTATCTAATTTAAATAAGTTTAAACTTACATGGTAAAGAAAATATCTTGAATAGGCTGAAAAAATTGATGGCGAAATTTATCCATGACGATATTGTAAATAAATATCTTAAATTAACCTTTCTTTTAAGTATACCATCTTTTTAACATGGAAGATGGATGCTTTTGCATCGTAAGATCGTTTAATTTGATATTAAAGAATTAATATTCAACAGAAGTATCGTTGATTTTGATTTGATTGAAGTATTACGTAATTGACTTCCTTCCAAAATTAAGGATGTGCAAAAAAATAAATTAATAGCAGCGATAAAAGTAAATAAATCAAATTCCATAAGTGTTTAGCTGTAAATTTTTCCAGCAGTGATGTATTCCTTGCCACCACCATCAGTTTTTTAAACACGTTGATTATTTTCAAATCTTTTAAAGGTGGAAGAAATGAAGATTATTATAATGTAGATTATATAGATCTCCATATCGTCATATGGAGATAGTGAGAGGGAATATGGTACGATAATTATTACTAATCTGTAGTAAGAATGATAACTTTTAAGTTTCGTATATATGCAAAGGAGATCCAGTACGTATTAAAATATTTGCATTAAGAATTTAGATAACCCTATCATTGCTATTATTGGTTAAAGTGATAGTGATATATCTGTATAAATAGGGCAAAAGAGAGAGAGAGAGTGATCGATTAAATATTATTCCTATATTCTAAAGTTTTAGTTAGACCTAGGCAGGAGAGGATCAGTAAAATTATTATGGTTCATTATTTTGAATCATTTCATTCTTTCGCGAATTTACGGATAGCTTTTGGTTTCGAATTGCTCGAAAGAACGGCTTTGAGTTTTATGCAAGTATGAAAGATGGTATTTCTAAGTGATTTCACTTGGAATCTTGATATCGATGAAGAGAATTCAGGAGAAGGGTAAATAGCTAGCAATAAACATGTGATCACTGAGAGTGATTATCATGAATCACATTGAATGAATGTTGCCTGCATTAAAGAATCTTTACTTAAATGATTTCTAGATGTTGATTAATAAATTGCCGAGAAGAGATTGTGTTTCACGTCGAAGCGAGAGGAATAAAGGAGATACATAGCTCTAGCTAGAAATAGTTCATTGAACTTATCGGTGATATATATACATATATTCGACAAGTAAAATCGATCCAACAAGCTTCTAGGACGAGCCATTTTGTCCACATGATTCTACTATGGCTTCATCGATGGTATTTCGCTGAATTTGATCTCCATTAGGCAATGTGGAGCGCCGTTTCATCGCGATTTCCTGTGGTGGATTCAAAGGAGCAGCAGCAGTTGTTCTTCTTGTATCCGCAAAGGATCGATCTCGGCGAATGGTAAATACTTTGACAACCACAGAACGTATAGCGATATCGAAATAGGCATAGAGAAAAGGATTGACTGCAGGATAGGCATAAGCTACCTCTTTTAACACAGCCATGGCTCTAACAAGATTACCTAAAATTTTTAAATAACTTAGACGGTCATCGATATTTATTGGCCTCATAGTCACTAATGGTACCATGGCATAACTAATTGCACTACAAATGTAGAAAGGAAGATGCATTAATATAAAGGCGCCAGTAATCGCGATTAAAGGTATTGCCGTCTTAAAATGGAGGCCAATTTTACGGCGTCTTCGTTGAGCTGGTGTATCATCATTGATAAGGAGTTGATGATCGAGTATTTTCTTCCATTGCTGCATAGCAATACAATAAATATAACTATAGGAAATGATCATACATATCACAGGCAAACAAATTAATGTTGAATAAAAAAACCAATGGTAAGGTATTTCATGATCTAATGATACTGTGGTAACACAAGAAAGATTGTTTTCAATCTTATATCGTGTACGAAAAGTAAAGAGGGGATAAAAACCGGCAGCTACTGCAATCAACCAGATAATCATGATTAAGACAACCATTAATTTCTTATTGGATAAAGAAGGGTAATGCAAAGGAAAGCCAATGATTAAAGCTTTATCCACAGCGATAATACATAAATGTAAGCTAATGGCGATGGTTAAAAAATTGCGTATAGGTACACTAATAGAACAGAATAAGCTTTCACGATAGAATATAGTGAAAATATAAGGCAAGCAGTAAAGCAAAGCAAAGAAAATAGCGCAAAAACTCATGCTACATATCATTAAATTATGTAAATTTCTTAATCGGTGTTGCGATAATATGACATAGATTAATGGGCTATTGGTTAAGATGATAACAACTCCAATAATTTCATAAAATATAACATAACGTAACTGGCGCTGTAATTCTACAGTAGCATTATAGGGAGTTGCCATTCTGGATAGTCAATTCTATAATGAAGGGCAAATTAATGGATAAATTGACGATAGAGCTAGATAGCGATGAAAATGATGAATCGTCCACCTGTTCAACTTGACGAAACCAAAATAGATACAGAGACAGGCAAACAGTGATTGTTAAGTCTAATTGAGGTCGGAAAATGAATTTTTGTGTAATAATTAATTGGATTTATTTACTATTCAATTCAATGGGTAAAATTCGTTCCTATACAGGTTTGAGCGGCCAAATGACTGTAAGACTCTTTAACAACTATTGGCAAATTATCGCTTTATGGTGAAGACAGGATATTCTTGAATTAGATGAATGACAAATAGCATCAATGGCCTTAAAATTTTTTTAACACAAGATCAACCTTGGGGTTAAGTTTAGAGAAGCAATCTCAATAGGCTTAAAATTTCCGGTAAAAATCCAATAATTTCTATCACACCAATAGGTTAAAAAATTTTTTTAAATAAAAAATGAAGCCTTGAATAGAATATAGGCTTCAGTAGGAATAAACTTTGTCAAACAGCGCTAGATTAAAATATTCTTCAATAGAAAATCAAAACCGTTGAAATAGAGCGTCAAATCAGTACAGGAATGGATTAAAAATAATTTTTAACGTAAATGAATGTTGTAAAGCATTGAAGGTTTAATCGATTTTCACTAGAAGTTAATCTTGTAAAAACGCTGTGGTGACCTTGATTGTCTTTCCTATGAAAATTTCAATATTTCAATTGCTTTAGCAATAAATTTTTAAAATCTTCTCCTTCTAGTATTAGCGTTAGAAATAGGCCAAAAAGTGGGTAAAATTAAGTCTAATAAAGTAGCCCTTCTGTTTTAAATTGATATTAGTGATACTTTGGCTTAAAGACGAGGATAAATTAAATTCTCACTAGGTCATAAAGCTTTGCCCTACAAGGATGGGCGATACCGTACTTTAATTGGAGAAAAGGATATATGCCAACTAGGTAAATAAGAATTTGTCTTTTAGCGATACTTTGGTTTGATAGCAAGGGTAAATTAAATACCAACGCGATGAAAAAGCTTTGCAACAATAAGCAATCTTTTAATTTGAAGACAAGGATAAATTAAATACAGTTCAAAACTTGCACTATTGCTGGTTGGCAGAAATCAACCGGCTTTAATCGAGACAGGTTGAGATTTCAATCAAAATTCGCCTTGTCAAGCAGTAATCGAATAAATCATATATTAGTCTTGCAGGAAAGCAATCAATGTTTACTTTTTCAAACAAAAAGCCAATTTGGAAATACCGGGCTGTGATTTGATATGAGCTAACTTTGATCGGGATTCAAATTTCTTTGAATCAGTCCCAAATCGATCTTGCACTGCTTTCGCTTGAATCGCTTGAAATTTTCAAGAAAATGTATCTTGTAAAATCTTGGACTGCTTGAATAGGGAATCAATAGGGTTAATTCCTGCAAAAAGAGAATATTGACGTTCCTATTAGTGTATTAGAAAGTTCAACTTTGACCAAGATTAAAATTAATTTTCGATCAACCACAATTCGTATTGCACTGAGCTTGAATTACTTGAAATTTTAAGAAAAAAGTATCTTAAAAACTCTTCTTGAATGGGAAGTCAATAGCGTTTGTCCTTGCAAAAATAGGATGCTCGCGCTCACCTTAGAGTATTAGAAAGCTGAACTTTGACCAGAATGAAAATTTATTTTCAATCAGCCACAGCTAATATTGCACTGAGGTTATTTCAGTTGAAATTTTCAAGAAATGGTCTTGTGAAATCTTCTTGAATATGAAATTAATAGCGTTTATTCCTGCAAAACTTGATCTATTCACACTAATGTTGGTGTACTAGAAAGCTCAATTTTGACTAGGATTAAAAACTCAATCAGCTCCAAGTCGATATTGCTTTGCTTGAGCTAAAACCGCTTAAATTTTTCAAGAAAATAATATCTTGTAAAATCTTGGACTGCCTGAATATGAAATCAATGGCCTTTGTCCTTCCAAAAAAATTAGGATATTGACTGATATTAGTATATTAGAAGGCTTCAGGAAGAAATGGGTTTTCAATTTCAATAAACAGCAGTCTTGGAAATGAACTCAATCCAATCAGCTACAGAAGCTAGCAGTAAGAGATTTGATTCATTTCTTTCCCAACTAGGTATTGCAAAAAAATGAAAAGAATGGTAGTCAAAGTTTATTACAGGAGGATCGAGAAAAGACTGAAAAGAATACTCAAACCGTTACTTATAACTTGTTATGCAAGGTGCGATTTGTAATTATAACATCAATGTTGCTGTCAAATACTGCTCAATAACAGCATAGGATTGATTATTATTAGTCATGGATTGAAAATGAGTTGTTTGTTATTGAATCTACTATATAATTTTGTTGTACTTAAACAAAAAGAGATCAAATAAGCAGAATAAAGAGTGTATAAACTCCTTGTGAACAAAGGGCAAAATAAAATTTGGCCAAGTCAATAGCAATTATAATAATGTATCTCCTGTTTCTGGAGATTAACAATCATGCAATAATATTCGGAAGCATATGTGGATACTGTAAAGGGGAAGAGTAAATTAGTTCATGAGTGAAAAAAGTGAATTAATGCCATTTTGTAATCATCGTTATCATGAGAAAATATTGACTTACGGTACTCAAACTAGTTTGAACGAGGTAGACGAATTAGAAAGGTTTATATAACGCTCCTTTTCGCGACTTATTAATAGATCAAAAATGTAGAAAAAATAGACTATAAAATATTTTCATGAATAATGGATCAACTTACAAATCAGTAAAATGATCAGAAATATGTTTAGTGCGGTTATTAATAAATAGGATTGAATCCAAATCTTTTCAAAATAAAGGAATGATGTAATATCGAGTTTATAGCCTTTAATAATGTACAATCTTCAAGCTAAATTGAAAAAATAACATCATGTTGTCATCCATATCAATAAGAATTATTTCATTAAATGGATGTTATAACATCGAATTTATAACTCTAAATAATATACAATCTTCAAGCTAATGTCATATATATTAATAAAAACTATTTCATCAAATTCATGGTATAATATCAAACTTAAAGCTCTGATGTTTATAATGTACAAGCTTCCAATTCTACCTTCATGTCGTTATTCATATTAATGAAAACCGTTTAATTAAATGGATATTGTAACATCGAACTAATAGCTCTAATAATGTGCAATCTTTAGCCTATATCGAAATTCTATCGTTATGTTTATCATCCATATTAATGGAAATATTTTATTAAATGCATGGTGTCATATCGAATTAATAGTTCTAACAATGAGCAGTCTTCCAGCTTAATTGAAATTCTACCTTCATGTTGTCATCTATGTTAATAAAGCTATTTCATTAAATGATGGGATAATATCGAGTTTATAGCTCTTGGTGATGTACAATCTTCAATCTTCAAACTAAATTGAATTTCTACCGTCATGTTGTCATCCACAATAATGGAAATTATTTCATAGAAATGGATGGTATAATATCGACCTTATAGCTCTAATAATGTATACACAATCTTCAAGCCAAATTGAAATTCTATCATCATACCGCCATCCATATTAATGAAAACCATTTCATTAAATAAATCATATAATATTGAAACTTATAACTCTAATAATGTACAATCTTCAAGCAAAGTTGAATTTCTATTGTTATATTGTCATCGATGTTCAAGAAACTATTTTTTATTCAAATGGATGGTGTAATATCTAGCTTATAGCTCTAGTAATGTACAATGTTTAAGCTAAATTGAAATTCTACCGTCACCTTATCATCGATATTAATGAAAACTATTTCATTCTGTTTGTTTTCTTTTCTACTGCTAAAATTAATCATTGATAACTTCATCAAGAAATCTTCAAAAATCTGCAGCCCTATTTATCAGGATTATTGTTGTCCATCACCGTCATTGTGACATATTCTTTTAACTCGAACTTGGAAAAGATGTATCAACTAGAATGAACTTTGATTTAATGTATCTTCTAGCTAGTGCAATACCTTTGTCCGTGATTTACTCATTTATTGTTCATCAGACATGAGTCAATGAAACGATAGAGGAAGCATAAAATCTATTTGCTTTTATGTGCGTATACCGTAATAAGGATTGCTAAGCTCTCATTAAATGTTATAATTATTAAGGAATAAATAAAATCAAACTCGAACTCCAATAATTTAGTATTTCTAAATGTAAATTAAAATCGAATAAGTGGTAAATATACCTGCAAATATCACTTTCTTATATTTTGGCAATAATGATTTAATAAGCTCATTAGATTATACTTACAGATTTCATGATTTAGTTATGATTAACGTGACCAAGAAATACTTTTTAGAACACGATTAGTGTCAACAAAAGCAAATAAAACTTATGAGTCATTTCGTCGTAGTCAACGTAATCAAGAAATATTATCTATAAAATTATTAGTGTCACCAATAGTGCATAAAGCTTCGAATTATAAATTCACCAACGGCATGATCAAGGAAAGGTTTTATATAGTACTGGTGTTATCGAAAGCGCATAAAATTTACGGGTCACTTCGTCATAGTCATTGAAGTCAAGAAATACTAATTAAACATTATTCATATCATCAAAGGCACAAAAAGCTTCCAAATTATTTAGTCATAATCACTATGGTCAAGAAAAGTGCTTTTAAAAGCATTGATAATGTCATCAAAAACATATGAAAGATGCAAATCATTTAGTCGTATTTGATATAATTACGAAATACTTTTTATATTACTCTTAGGATCACCAAAAGCGCATAAAACTTTGAGGTTATTTTGTTCTATTTTATATGATCAAGAAATACTTTTTATAGCATGCAAAGATGCAAATTATTTAGTTTTATCGGCATAATCATGAAATACTTTTTGTAATACTTCTAGTACGTCAAAAGCGAATAAAAAATTTAAGTCATTTAATTATAATCTACATAGTTAAGAAGTATTATTTATAACATTATTAGTGTCGTTAAAGTCGC